TGGGGGAGCCTGTTGGCTTGACATCAGAGTGCAGAGGCATGATGAATAACGAACTGGAAATAGCACCTTTATGTAAGAGCCCTCCCATCGTAATGAGGGGAAGGAGGCCTAGAAGCCCGGAATTGGGCTGAGGGGAGGAGAAGGGCTGAGAGGGAGAAGCTGCATTTTGCTGAGGTGGCCCCGGGGTGCCCAGGTGGCCTCAGGCTTTGACGTCATGCAGGGGAGCCTTACTGGCCCGAGTCCACACTGCAAAGGTTGCCTCTGCTCATTTCATCCCCTTACAGTTCCCCCAGACCACACGTCTGTGATATCTGGGCCCTGATTGGGCCAGCTCAGGAAATAAGGGGTTCTTTTCTCTGAAAAAAAGGGAATTTCCTGAACTGCCACAGGTTTGAGGAAGGAGGTGGAAGAACAATGGCAGCAGGTCATCTTGGCTCTTATGGGAAGCAGGTTTTTGTCGGGGATATGGAGTCAGGCCTTTTTAATAGAGTTCAGCTTTCTGCCCCATCCTTACTGTGTGACCTTGCACAGGTGACCTTTCCTCTCTGATCTTCAGTCACCTCAGCTGTAGACTGGGTGAAGGGTCGCATCTGGCAGGATTAATGGAGCCACCAGGTCTAGGCCCTCATTGAGGCTCTGGCCTCAGTGGATGCGGGGGGAGGGGGCCCAGGTGGCTGTGATTGTGTGTGGGTGGTGGCGAAAGTAAACAGGCCCAGCTCCTGCATGAGCTCTGACCTTGAGCCTCCTCTGGAAGCCCGTTCCGCAGGCGTTTCTGCTGACGCATCCCCTGGGTTCTTAGCCGGCTGTCTGCAGCTATTTCAGATGCGTAAGGAACATGGCTCGGGGACTCGGGACTCCTGAGCGTCTGGATTCAGCAGATGGAGTCTGGCAGGGCTAGGCTCCGAGGGCTGGGCTCCAGCCCGTCTGCCATTTGCTCCACTTCAGGCCTCCCCAACAGGGCTGGATATTCATCCCTCGTCTACCCCTCACTCTCCCAACCCTCCATCTCCACCTGCCATGCCCCCAGGATGCAGTTAGTAGCAGGGAATGAGGCTGAGGCCAGGGCCAGCTATGGCTGGCTTCTCTCTCATTTCCAAGAGGGTTGCTCGTGGGGGCCTCAGGTTCCTATGACATCAGGGTCCTGTCCATTTCTGGGGTTGGGATAGTGCAGCATGGGCTTTGGGGTGACCCAGACCCAGGTTAGATAAACCTGACCTTCTGTAGAATGGTCAGATGACCTTGGACAAGTCACTTCCCTCTCTGAACTTTAGGAGTAATTGATGTGACAAGGGACAATCCTAGTACCTGCCTCACAAGGTCGTTGGGAGGATCAAACGAGGTAATACAAGTAAAACACCCAGCACGGGGCCTGGCACACAGCAGGTCCTTTGTAGTTCTCTAATACCCTTTCCGGGAAAAAGTCATACCCTCCCTGAGCTTCCCTGGAAAGTCATGGCTGCCTGATAAGAGCTTCCTGCGCAGCTGAATGTGCAAAGTCCCTGATGCGCCAGAGCAGGGCAGAATCCGACAGCATTGGTCCCACCACGGACTGTCATCTGAGCCCAACCCCCGCTTCCCCCAGGATCAGCTGCAGGTCAAATTCCTGGGGCAGGGGGCAGTGGCTCCACCTGAGTGTGGCGGCAGAGGCTCCCCTTGTCTTTGCTGTAGATACCTCTGAGGCTCTGACCCCTCTCTGTGCCTCCTGCTGATGCCAGGGCCATGAATGTTGAGCCTGAGGAAGTGATTGCATGGCAATCACTGCCTCACTGTTCACCTTAACGCGCCTGGCTGGACTCCTTCCAGGGAGCATTGGACTCATTATGGTCTTGGAGGAGGGAGGTGGTGTGAGACGGCTGCTGTTCCTTTCCATCCTAGTTGTCATGTGGGCCAGGACACGTCTCGCAGTTCATTCTCTTGCTGGGGCAGATTGCAAGGCCTCCCAATCTCCCGATGCATGTAACAGTCACCTGCCTCGTACACTGTGCCAGGCCCTATTCTGAATGCTTTGTAAGTGTTAACGTATCTGCTGCATAAGGCAGGTATTGCTGTTAACCTGTTTTACAGAGGAAGGATTTACCCGCCATCACTCAGCTGCAAGCAGCAGAACTGGGTGTGAGTTCAAAGAAGCCTCAGAGGTAGCAGAGCCAGAACCAGTGTCACTAATCAGTGAGTGAGAGAGCAGCCTGATCACCCTCCCCCTTTTGAAAGAATCCCCCCAACCACCACGCACCATGCTTGCATCACAGGGACTGTCAGCAGCAGCTTGCTGTGGGGCAGTCTGCAGTTAACAGGTCAGGACCAAGGTTTGCATGTAAGCCTCAACTTTGTGGGGAGATGGGGGCAGTTGCCCCTGCCTGACTCTGCCCCTGAGGCATCATGAGACCAGATGAGGAGCTCTGAGTTTGCAGGGCTCCTACCCGGAAGGCCCAAGCCAGCATCCCGCGGGTTGAGATAGGGATCTGTGCGGCATGACTGGCTTCTCTCTGTCTTAGGGGTGTGGCGTCAGGAGTGCCTTCTGTCCCCACCTGCTGCCTTCACACTCACTCAAACATTCATTACTGCTCACCGCGGTGACCTGCTGCACCACCCCCCTCAATTCCCTGCCTGCTCTGGCCTCCTCCAATGATGGCTAGAGTGATTGATTGATTCATTCATCCTGCCATTCATTCATGGATTCATCAGTTTGCTTAGTAAATATTTATCCAGCAGCCACTGTTCTGAACACTGAGGAGAGAGTGAGGACCAAGTAGTTGCACATCCTCCCTTCTTAGAGTTTATATCCTATTGGGAGAGACAGACCGTATGCAAAGAGTATAAAGTCAGATGGTGATAGGCGTTACACAGAAAACCAAAGCAGGAGCAGGGGATAGACAGTGGGGCAGTGCTGTTTTAGACAGGGCTCCGCCCTCGCCAAGGAACTAAACAAAGTGAGGGAATGAACCACTGTGTGGTGCAGAGAGAGAGCAGCAGGTGCAAAGGCCCTGGGGCAGGATTGAGTCCTCGATGTCAAAGGAGTAGCAGGAAAGGGCCCAGTCATGTAGGCACAGTGAGTGTGGGGTTTGGAACTTCCTTCAACTGAGATGAAGAGGCCTTGGGGGTCCTGAGCTGCAGAGACCTGACATATGTTTCCGGGATGACTCCCTGGCTGCTGGGTGGAGATGGTGCTCAATGAGAAGGAGAAAAATAAAGAAAGGTGGGGTGGGGTGAGGGGAAGGTTGTGATTGTAGTCGGGGTGGTAAGGGTACACCTCATCGAGGAGGTGACAAGTGCATTAGGTCTTGAAGGAGGTGAGCAACAGCATGGCTCGTGGATGGATAGCCAAGCAGAAGAGTTGCAGGCAGAGACAACAGCCAGTGTGAAGGCTGACATGTCCATGGTGTTCCAGCCTGGCTGGGGAGCAAAGGGGATCTTTGTAGAAGGCAAACTTGACCACATCTCCATGGCAACCCACTGCCCTCAGGCTTAAGTCCAAGAGCTCCATGCTTGACTTCTGTGGAGCTGCTCGGGGATTCTCAAACCTCTTGTCTCCATTCCTGCTTTACACCCTTTCCTCTGTCTGAAACACCTATCATTCCCTTCTTTGCTCTGCTTACTCATAAGACCTAGCTTTGAGTTGTGCCCCATCCTCCAGGAAGCCTTCCTTGATAACCCCTTCCCTGATTGCGTTATATGCCTGTGTTTGCCCACTGAATGCTCTCTCTGCAGTCGCCCTGTTGTTTGTTTGCTTGTCGACTTACTTCCATTGTCTCTGAGCTACCAATGGCAGGGGTGGTGTCTCACCTCCTCTGTGTCCCCAGCCCCTTATCAGCCTGGAGCTTCAGAGACTGCTCAGTACTGATGAACACTGCAGTTGAGACCTCAGCCAAGTGTTGATGTAGCCATCAGCGTTCTCCAGAGAAAGAGAGGCAATCAGATACACTCTATTGTGTGGGATTGGCCCACACAGTGATGGAGGTTGAGAAGTCCCAGGGTCTGCCATCTGCAAGTTGGAGGCCTGGGAAAGCTGGTGGTTTTGTTTTAATCCAAGTCCAAAGACCCAGTAACCGTGAACTCCGGTATCTGAGGGAGGAGGAGATGGATGTCTCAGCTCTAGAAGAGCACGCAAATTTGCCCTTCCTCTGCCTTTCTGTTCTGTTCAGGCCCGTAGTGGATTGGATGAGGCCCACCCACATTGGGGAGGGTGAGTTTTGCCCAGTCCACCCATTCAGATGCTGATCTCTCCTGGAAACACCTTCACAGACACACCCAGAAATAATGTTTTACCAGCTATCTCGGCATCCCTTAGCCCAGTCAAGTTGACATGCAAAGCTAATCATCACAGTGGTGGAAGCTCTTCTCCATTCTGGGCTCTGGGACAGAGAGAACTGGCTCCCTTAGCCCTCAAGAGAGCCCAGCTCAGAGAGGAGCTCCGATGGGCCCCCCATAGATGGCCCACAAATGGCCTTTTGGCAGCCCAGTGTCACTTAAGGGGCCATTGGGTTTCTTCTTGTGAATTGGGAAGGGAGGAAAGAAAAAGATGTTTTTTGCAAAATAAGGTCCGTTTAAACCTTAAACCACCACCTTGGGATGAAAACCATTAGAATTTAGAAAAGGGAGAGACTGTCCCCACCCACTTCTCTCTTGCCATTTTCACACCTTCCTGGGATTCATCAGCAAGTGGTGGAGAGAGGCCTATGACTGTGTGGAGCACAGCACTCATGGCCAAATCCAGGAATTCCCAGCCCAGGCTGGAGACACCCCAGCATCTCTGGCAGTTCAGGGGATGCCTGAAAGTGATCAGAAAGTCCCAAAGAAAATTTAACTTCAAAGTGACCAGCAGCAATGAAATTGACCTTCATTTTAATGGGTAAAGTGAATTTCAATGAAGTGAGGTATGTCAGGGCTCACATGAACCACATGGAGGTGTCCTAAGACTTCCTCGATTTTGGTGTGCTGGAGAACAAACCAGTTTTCCCTTCTCAGCTTCTGTTTCCTCACTTTGCTTTCTTGTCCGTTTCTAGAACACTCTGGACCTGGAGGAAACCGGCGAGGCTGTCCATAGCAGTGTCAATGCCCTCCCAGACGTGTCCGTGGTAAGGCCCTGGCTGGCCCTTTGGTTCTGCTCTCTCTGGTGTGCTCAGGCCCTGGAGGCTCTCTCCTCTCCATGACAGCCACAGAGAAAGGACACAGGGTGGCAAAGGAGACAGAGGCCTCTGCCATGAGCTCTCACACCCAGCTACAGGTCTGTGCACGAGCGCACCGTTCTAGCATCTCTAGCAGGCACCAGGATTGCTTGCCTCTGGTGACTTCAGGCAGGGCCGTCAGGCTGACTGGCCACAGTATGACTTTGACCAAGTTTGTTAGCCTCTCTGTGCCTCAGTTTCCCAATCGGTAAAGTGTGGATGATGATCATAGCATACCTACCCCATAAGTATGTGGCATGGAGTAAATTAATGAAAGCCTTTAGGACGGTGCCGGAAAGGCTGTTGGAGCTGTGCAGGTGTCCGGTGTTGACCTAGGCAGAGGGGAATGGTAGTCACAGTGTCCGTAGCTGCCCCTCACCGTGCACTTGCTGTGGCACGGGCACTGTGCTAACAGTATCCACATGGCTTTTGACATCACCACACCACCTCTGCTGGGTAGGTGTGCTTTTCCCCATTTCCCAGAGGTGCACTCAGAGAGGTGTTGTGTCTTGCCTGAGGCCACACAGCACCCCAGCCCGTGTATCCATCTCCTCCTGTCCATTCTCTCTACAGTCCTTTCACACCTCTTGCCTCTGGTACTCAAGATCACCTCCTAAAAAGAAAAGCCAAATAAATGCATTTTTTGTATTTCCATCCTCTTCATACTGTCTTTAATAAAGTCTTGTTCCCTGTGAGAAGCTCTGGCTGATGCCAAGAACTTCAGTTCCCAAAGGTAATGATGCCGTCCCCAGAGACACCCGCCAGGATCCCAACGCTCATCAGCTGCCGAGATGCAGGGGAGAAGTTTTCCACTCAGGTGTTGCATTATTCAGAGCAGCGTAGCCAAGAGCAGTTAGAGTGGGGACAGAATTCCAGTCGGGCCTGGCACCACTCAGCTGCTCGGCCTCCCCTCTTCTAGGTGTGATGGGTTCTGACTCCTTCTCTACCTGTTGGGTCTTTTGGCAGGATGATGTCAGATCCACCTCCGAGGGGCTGTCAAGCTTCAAGCCACTGCCTCCCCCACCACCTCTGGCCCAAGGCAACGACCGCCCACTAGGCCAGCCAGGGAAGCTGGGGAGAGAGGACCTCCAGCTGCCTTCCTCCACGCCTTCCTGCTCTGGCACTGTCTTCTCAGCTCCACAGAACCGTAGCCCGCCGGCGGGCACCGCACTCACCCCAGGGACCTCCTCTGCCCAGGACTCGCCCTCCTCCCCCGTCTATGCCTCCGTTTCCCCTGCCAACCCCAGCTCCAAGAGGCTGCTGGATGCCCATCTGGCCCTGGTCAACCAACACCCCATCGGCCCCTTCCCGCGGGTCCAGTCACCCCCGCACCTGAAAAGCCCCTCTGCAGAGGCCACAGTGGCTGGGGACTGCCTTCCACCGCCATCGCCCTCTGGCCACCCGGACCAGACAGGCACAAACCAGCACTTTGTCATGGTGGAGGTCCACCGCCCCGACAGCGAGCCAGACGTCAATGAAGTGAGGGCACTGCCGCAGACGCGCAGTGAGTACAGCAAGGCCAAGCTCTGTGGTCCTTGGGGGGTCCCTGTCCTCTCCGGGTCAGTCTACCTGATGACACAGTGAAGGGTGGGACCAGCTACTTGTTGAGGGGGCTCAGGGCCAGAGTGGTGAAGGGAGTTGGAGACCCCAGTTTGAATCCCGGCTCTGCCACTGACTAGCTGTGTGACTGTGGACAAGCTGCCATCTACACCTTGCTTTCCGCATCATAAAATGGAGATAACAGTGACAATCCTGCCAGGTTGCTGCGAGGGTTGGGGCGCCTTCTCTAGCTCCCCCTACCCTGGCCACCCTGCGTTCACCAGGAAGACTGAACTCGTGGAGGGCAGAGGTGGCTTCTCTTCCTGTCCCCCGCGGCCTGGCCGGGAGTAGATGCTGGGGTGAAATGAAAGGTGGAAACTGAAGTGGCAGTCTCTGGATCCCTGACAGGTCTAGGGTCAGGGTGCAGGAAGAATCTTGGGGAGACCAGATGATGCTGTGCCCCGGTTTGCTAGAGGACATGGGCTGGGGCGTAGAGGGAAGGGCAGAGCCTTCTTCCCCACCCTGAAAGCTGTGGCCCGCCCTCCTGTGAGTTTGGAGCATTTTGTTGGATTTTGCTGCCATCTTGTGGCTACAGTGGTACATGGGACCCATAGGACGTTCCCTGAGTGCCTGCACAGACCAAGATGCAAAATGCAGGGCCCTGGCGCTCACGGCTTAGTGAAGGCAGGCAGCTGAGGGAGAGCAGGCAGACAAGGTGAGAAGACCCAGGGCTGTCACCAATGGATCACTGCTGCCTCTAGAGCTGGCACTGAGCTGGACACACAGGGATAGTAAGAGCTGACAGCCGCACTAACAATAAGCACTTTGTATGTGCCAGCGTTCAAAGGGCTTTGCCTATGGTATTAACTCATTGAATCCTCCCAGTAGCCCTATGAGGTTGGTACTATTATTATCCCCATTTTACGAATGAACAAACTGAGACATAGAAATTAGTCATTTCTGGCTGGGTGCAGTGGCTCATGCCTGTAATCCCAGCACTTTCGGAGGCCGAGACGGGCAGGTCATTTGAGGTCAGGAGTTCGACCTCAGGAGCCTGGGCAACTTGGTGAAAGCCCCATTTCTACTAAAGATACAATAATTAGCCAGGTGTGGTGGTGAGCACCTATAGTCCCAGCTACTCAGAAGACTGAGGTGGGAGGATCGCTGGAACCTGGGAGGTGGAGGTCGCAGTAAGCCAAGATTGCACCCCTGGACTCCAGCCTGGGCGACAGAGTGAGAAGCTGTCTCAACAACAACAACAAAAAAAAAAAAAAAAAAAAAAAAGAGAGAGAGAGAGAAAGTAGTAATTTCTAGCTTACCAAGAAAAAAAGAGAAATTCCGCCACCCCTGGCCTGAACCCCTGCACGGCCGCTGCCTGAGCCGAGTGGTGGGCAATCAACGCACGCTGCTTCACTGTGTGTATCACAGCCGGGCCCTGAGTTTGAAACCCTAGATCAAGAACCCACAGCCTGGAGCCAGGCAGGCTAGCACAAGTCTATTCCCTTGACTGCTCCATTCTATACATCAGATCTATGAGTTTTTACAGTCACCCCAGTGGTTAGGCACCATCATTTCTGTATTAGAAGGAGAACATAGGAGGCTTAGAGAGGCTCTGTTACTTGCCCAGGCGTGCACAGCTGGTCAGTGGGAATTCAAAGCTGACCTGCCAGACTCCAGAGTGTGTGTTCTTAACGTAGGGTCTCACACTCAGGGGCCGGGCTGTTACATACATAGTGAAGCTGACTGGTGGCTGGAAGGCATGTGCCCGCCACTCGGCTCAGGCAGGGGTCGCGCAGGCGTACGGGCCAGGTGTGGCAGAATTTCTCTTTTATTCTTGGGAAGCTAGAAATTACTTACATGAAATCTTCTAATTTGAATGTGTTGGTTCATCATTAAAAATTGATAGCATTATGTGAGTTTTAAAACAAAGATAACACCCACATCCGTGTGCTGGGTTTGCCTCCTGACCTCTGTTTTAATCGTTACGCCAGTGGCTGAGAACTGGGAGATCCAGGCAGATGTCCTGGAAGTCACAGCCTTCGGGCCAGGTCTGGTTGAAAGGACAGGTCCTGAGTAGGTGGAGAGGGTGGCAGGGACTGGACCTGCCCTCCAGCGCCATGATCTCTTCCTTCCTTCCCCCATCTTTAACCTGGGGAATTCCCAAAGCCTTCCAGCCTCCATCTCCATCACTGCCTTCAGGCAGCCCTCCCTGACCCCAGCTATATAAGCTGCTTCTGTCTTCCTTTTCCCCTCTCCAGCAGCCTCTACGCTCTCCCAGCTTTCAGACAGCGGGCAGACTCTAAGCGAGGACAGTGGTGTGGATGCTGGCGAGGCAGAGGCCAGTGCCCCAGGCCGAGGCAGGCAGTCGGCGTCCACCAAGAGCAGGAGTAGCAGGGAGCTGCCTCGGAACGAGAGGTCCACAGACGGGGCCAACAAACCGGTGAGCCAGGAGGAGGAGGATGCAGAGGGCCGAGAGGAACATGGGCCCCAGGTACAGAATGGGAGGTCCCGGGACCTGGCCTCAGCTTGGCAAGTGACCACAAGGGGAGGTAGTGAGCTCCCCATCACTGAAGGGATTTGGATGTCCCAGTGGAGCACTGGATTAGGAATCTGGAGGCCCAGTTTCAGCTCTGTCTTTGCACTGACACTAGGGGCTGAGGCTGAGGTTGGTCTTGGGAATCTTTTTTTTCTTTTTTCTTTTGAGATGGAGTCTCGCTCTGTCACCCAGGCTGGAGTACAGTGGCACCATCTCAACTCACTGCAAGCTCTGCCTCCCGGGTTCACGCCATTCTCCTGCCTCAGCCTCCCGAGTAGCTGGGACTACAGGCGCCCGCCACCATGCCCCGCTAATTTTTTGTATTTTTAGTAGAGACAGGGTTTCACCGTGTTAGCCAGGATGGTCTCGATCTCCTGACCTCGTGATCCGCCCTCCTCAGCCTCCCAAAGTGCTGGGATTACAGGCGTGAGCCACCATGCCCGGCCGGTCTTGGGAATCTTTAATCTCCCCTCAGTTTTGACATGGCCAGGTGGCTGAGACAGTCTTCAGAGTCAGGCCCGGATTAAAGTCCTGATGCCGCCACCAGGCAGCCTTAGGCAAGCTCCTTAACCTCCCGAGCCTCAGGGATTTTGGTGAAGATTAAAGAGCTGAGAACACAAGTGCTTGGCTTGGCGTGTGGCATGCCTGGGCTCCCGACACAGGGCTGGAGCCGGAGCTCTGCTGACCCAGGGAGGTGTCATGGCCCGGCCCAGCCCAGCCCCCTGGCCAGGCCTGCCAACTGCGAAGGCCTCAGTGGTGTCTTTCCTCACACCCACAGCCTGGACTCCTGGAGCCCACGTCCACTCTGGTCCGTGTGAAGAAAAGTGCGGCCACCCTGGGCATTGCCATCGAGGGTGGCGCCAACACCCGCCAGCCCCTGCCTAGGATTGTCACTATTCAGGTATGTCCCCGGGGCCCCACTTGCCATCTCTCCCTAACCACGAAAGGCCCTTTCTCAGCATCTCCAGGGTTTTGCGACTCCCATGGGTAACACAGCACTCCTAGGCTTATGTCACCTTTGATCTTCTGGGCCTCAATTTTCCTAATCTGAGCAGTGGACACCCAGATTGTAGCTGCCTGCTTGGCAGTGTTAGGACTGACCCAGTGGGTGGTCAAAGCCAGGCCTGTCTAACCCTTGGGCACCCCATGCCCTGTGTCTCCTCCCTGCAGAGAGGCGGCTCAGCTCACAACTGTGGGCAGCTCAAGGTGGGCCACGTGATCCTGGAAGTGAATGGGCTGACGCTTCGGGGCAAGGAGCACCGGGAGGCCGCCCGCATTATCGCCGAGGCCTTCAAGACCAAGGACCGTGACTACATCGACTTTCTGGTCACTGAGTTCAATGTGATGCTCTAGAGGCCAAGGCCTGAGGGCCTCCCACCACTACCCAGCCCCTGGTTCCAGTCCCTTCCCACCGTTGGCTTCATCAAGCTCCTTGCCGGGTTGGGGCTGCACGGCCAGGGTAGCAGGAAGACATCCCCCCTCCATCCCAGCCCACTGGACCAGAACTGGGAGAGGAAGAGAGCAGGGCAAGGCAAATAGAAGGTCAGGTCAGGAACTGGTGCTGTACTGGGTACACAGTAGGCGCCCAAGACAAGTGGGTTGCAAGACAGGAAGAAAGGAAAAGGAAGGGCAGAGTGCTGGTTTCTCCAGGTTGGGTTGGGGGCACTACTGTCCCCCCTCCAGTTAGGACCCAGCCCATCCCCAGATGCCTGAGCCTTTGTCCAAAGTGAAGTCACTTGAGAGTTCGTGGACACGGCCCCCAACCAGGGGGAGTCTTGCAGGACCTTTAGTGCCACAAATAAGCATCGAGCACCTCCCCATTCACACCCCCATTCCTCCTGGCTCCTTATCCCCCGTGGTATTTATTATTTATTTCCCTCCCCATGCCCCTGGGGACCCCAAGGCCCCAGCTTCCCTCTGCACCCCCAGCCTATCCCAGAGGCCTTGCAGGTGACCAGCAGTGTCATTGTATTTATATACAGAGCTTATGACTTTAATTTTTCAATAAAGAAATCTGAACAAGGTTAGAGGCCAGCGTGCTGTGTGGTCTACCTGTGTGGCTGGGGTTTCCATGTGGGGAGAGGAGTGGACAGGACAGGTGGGGTCAGTCAGAGCACCACAGACCACCACCCTGCCTGCCCCCATGGCTCCATTTGGGATACACGGTGGGGTGTGCAGGGGTGCTTGAGCCACACTCACATCTTGGAGCCTCTTACTTGAAGGCTTGAGGGCAAAACTTGAGTATTTACAGATAATATTTTTAGATTAAAACCCACAAGTATATTATGAGGCAGAATGCACAATGTGCATGAATGTTTTAAATCCCAGATGCTGCCAGAAGCTGCCTGAGAGATAAGGATTTGTACACAAGCAATCATCAAGAAGTGCCCTCAGGGGGGACCAGCAAGGACGTCAGGAAGCAGGACAGGGAAGGGGAGGAAGCCAAGGGAGGGTGAGATTTCAAGCAAAGTCTGCAGAGGGCAGCTTCAGCCTGATCCCAGGAGGATCCCAGGGCGTACACTAGGCCTAGAGTTGTCTCCACTCAAGGCCAGAGGGCCGGACTTTCATGCCTGGCAGACTTTGGACAAAGCCTACAGGGAGAGGCCATAAATTCCCAATCACTTCCTGCTCTCTACCTATGTGAGCCAAGCTGTTTCAGTAGCCAAGGGCAGCGGGTGTCGGAGCAAAACATATGGGATGGGCTCGGAGGAAAAGGTAGCAGACATGGTCTACTGTATGGCCTCAGTCCCGGCCCCAGCACTCATTCCTTCTGTCCTCAATATTTGTCTGGAAGATGGAAGAGTTTGAGAAATCTTGCTTTGTCCAGGCCTATGTCCAGAGTTCCGTCAGAGGTGGGTTAGGGACAGTTGGTTCCATGCTCTTGTCCCAGATCCTGTTCTTAGCTGTCCTTGTTCTCTTTCCAGCCTGGGCAGACGACCTGAGACCTGAGCCATGGATTCCCCTGAGGCAGCTGGTGTTTCAGAAGGCACCCCTGCCATCCCCCCACAGGGTGCTGTGGACCCTCTGCAGAGAATGACCCCCCACCTAGCAGCAGGAGGGCTTTGTTAGGCCTCAGATTTCCTGCCATTCAACTCCAAAGCTTGTGTGGTCATGGGCAAGTAATTTTACCTCTCTGAGCCTCAAGTTCCCCATCTGTAAAATGGGTTTGGTAGGCTAAATAATGGCCCCCAAAGATACCCAGATTCAAATCCCTGGAACTTTGGAATGTTACTTTATATGGCAAAAGGGACTTTGCAGACATGATTAAGTTAACATCTTGACATGGGGTGGGCCCAGTGTAATCACCGGACTCTTATAAATGGGAAGCAGAGAAAGATGTAACAGAAGAGGACAAGGTGTGATGACGGAAGCACGGGTTGTTGCAGTGAGATGTACTTTGACGATGAAGGAAGGGACTACGACCTGAGGAATATAGGCAGCCACTAGAAGCAGAGAAAGGCAAGGCAGTGGATTCTCCCCTCAAAGCCTCCAGAAGGAAGCCTCCAGAAGGACCTGAGCCCAGAGAGACTCATTTCAGACTTCTGCCCTCTGTACGAGAAGGAATTTGTGCCGTTTTAATTTGTCACAGTAGCCATAGGAAACTAACACAATGGGACTGCCACCCCCAGCAGCTGCTACTCACAGCCCCATGTCTGTACTTGGAAGGAGTAGGACAAGAATGAGGTTTCTGGACTTGTTGCTTCTGGAATTCCTGGGCCTGACTCTGAGGCTGCGGCCCATTGGGTGTGTGGGTTTCCCTCCCAGTAGAACTTTTAACCTAAAAACTTTCCTTTGCAAGTGGATGGTTGTCCAATGTCACACAGCTAAGAAGGACAAGTTTGGACTCACAGCTGCCTGAAGCCTGGGTCTGCTCTTTCCTGCACCTGTTCTGGTGTCTTTTGAAGGACCCAGTGTCGTGGGCTAAGGTGGCTTCAAGTACTGGAAGAGTGGGGAGAGGGTTGTCAGAGGTCCACCCTGGCCACATGTACCTGTGACCCTGACATCTTTACTCATGATGCCAAAGTGGGGGGTGGAGGGAACGACTGGAGTCTCAGGGTCTGCTTCTCCCTTGCTGGAGAATGCTGGCCAGGTTACACAATGCACCAAGCCTCAGTTTCCCCTTCTGTTCAAGAGTCAGGACCGCCATGCTGCTCAAACCCAGGAATACACTTCACTTCCATGACCTGTGTGGAAAAACACCTTGGGCCCTTGCAACACTGACATTCCAGGGCCAGAGCCCAGAAGGATTAGCTAAAATGTTTGCCCCTGGCACAGAGCAGGCCCTTAGTGAGTAGAAGCTGCTGCTAAACTTGCTACCAAATATGTGTCTAGGGAGTAGCAGGCAACCTGGGGAACTGGCAAGTGCTTTCTACCAGGAGGAAAAACTCCAAAGCATTCAACTTTGGATGCAGCTGGAGGAGGGACCTTGAACAAGTCTCTTCTTGCATCAGGACTTACTAAGCCTCTTGTGTTAATAGGGTCAGTCAAGGTGCTGTTTAAATTAGTACCACTGATTTATTTCTTACGGGCCTGCCATTATTATTTATTTACTCTCAACAACTGCATAAGGTGTGGGTATGAATCCCATTTGCCTGAGGCTCACTGGCAGCAGGTGGCAGAGCTGGGGCAATGAGCCCAGGTGAGTTGGACACCGTGCATCCTTCAAGGTGTGTGTGTGGTGGACAAGGGATGATGTCTGTGCTGCACTCACAGCGGGACCTTGGAAAACTTCTTGTCCGTCTTCGGGCTAGGTTTGCATGCTTGCCTGATGGAAGGTTGGAAGAGAATATACCCGGGGGGTGATAATACCTGCGTACCTCATAGGAGACAACTGAACAGCAGAAGAGTTTCCAACAGGTCTGGCCCATAATTAGTGATCGAGAAAAGTTTTTTGTTACCGTTACTAAGCAGTCCACTTCAGCCATGGAAGTTTGTGATTTCCTCCTCACTGTGGCTCTGTGCAATCTGTTTTTCCTTTTTTTTTTTTTTTAGATGGAGTCTTTCTCTGTCGCCCAGGCTGGAGTGCAGTGATGCAATCTTGGCTCACTGCAACCTCCGCCTCCCATGTTCAAGGGATTCTCGTGCCTCAGCCTCCCAAATAGCTGGGATTACAGATGTGCGCCACCACGCCCAGCTAATTTTTGTATTTTTAGTAGAGACTGGGGGTGGGGAGGCGCTCACCATGTTGGCCAGGCTGTCTAACTCCTCACCTCAGGTGATCTGCCCGGCCTCCCAAAGTGCTGGGGATTACAGGTGTGTGCCACTCTGTGCGATCTTGCATAAATGCCTTACCGTCCGCAGACCGGGCCTCGATCTCCGGATCTGCGGTGGGGCTGATTGCAGCAGGGACACGCAGCCTCCCACGTCTGAGATTTTCATCCTGCAGCAGGGTTTGCGCTCCCCGTGCCTGAGTCCCTGGGGGCGGGTCGCGGCGGCCTCCTTTCGGTGATTGGTGCGCTCCCCGAGGCCCCGCCCCCGGGGCCGCCCCCTGCCGTCCCGGGCGGGCCTCCGGGATTATGCAAAGGAGCCGCCGCCCCGCCCCGCGCCCGGATTGGAGGCCTTTGTTTGCCGCTCAACTCCAGGAAACCACCCGCGCGCGGCGGCCTCCAGCAGGTGAGACGCGGGGAGGGACTCGCGGGTCGTCCGGGGTGGTCCCTGCCCCTCGCTGGGACTCAGTTTTTCCGTCAGGAGAATGGGGAGGGAGAGTGGACAGCGCCGGTGGGCTCCGTTCCACTGGGACGGTGCTGCTTTCGGTCTTTTCCACGTGGAAACCCCACGCGCATAGGGAAGGAGACGCATCACCGCTCCGGGAATGGGAGGTAGCCCTGGACTGGCGATGCGGGCCCCAGTCCAAACCCTGCCGGTCGCGGGGTTCCGCAGCCTCCACCCTGCGGCCTCAGTCTCCACCTCCGCACAATGGGGGCGTTGGCTTTTTCTCTTTCCAGCTGGGGCTGGTGGCAGGGAGGGGAGGGGTCCCGGGGGAGCTTGGGGCTGGGCCTTGGCGGGGCCTCGGGCTGTGTTTGGGCTGGAGGCGTGGCCCGGGTTGCTGTGGTTACTGGGGAGGTGAGGCTTTTCTATCTGGGATTTGTGTGAGATTCGTTCACCCAGCAACAATCGCCGCAGCCTGGCGGCCCTCGGAGCCGCGCGCCCTTCCCGGACGCCTAACGCAAGTTTCTTTTCCTCTTTTTGTCAGTGGGGGAAGGTAGAGCAAGGGCCAGGGTCGGGTAGGCAGCCTTGACAATGGTAGGAACTGAACGGGCTGCAAAAATAAGTCCAGTTCCCTCTTGGTACGCCTGCGGAGGAGAATGAGGTCCAGAGACGGGGCGCCACTGGTCCAAGGGTGCACAGCAGGGAGGCGCAGAGCTGGGCTCTCCCCAGTGTGATGGGGCTGGCACAGGCAGAGCCAGAATCTGCTTGCTGCGTGACCTTAGACGACACTTCCAAAGCTCCTTTCCCGGGCTTTTGTTAAAAGAAATGACGGATTGGAGTCCATCATTACCTATGTTTAAAAACCTGCTTCTAAGATCGTCGGAAGGGATCACAAACGTGGGCTATGTTGGAGCAGAGAGAAGCTGAGACAGGCTGCAGTGAAAAGAGACATTGTTCCTGTCCTCTAGAACAGAAGAAGAAATGGGCTGGAACTGAAGCATGAAAGACTAAAGTTAGACAGATACAGGGACTTCCCGAAAGACTTCCAGGTGCCTCCTTGGAATTGGTGGGTTTTATTTGGGGGCTGTTTTGTTAGTAAAACAATGACTGCCCATCTATTAGAAGGGGCCTAAGTCTGGTTTACTTACTAACAGGGGAGTGGAACCTATGGTGTTTTGGTACTCTGGGTTTATTCCTTGGGGCAGTCGTCTCACAGTTCTGCAGGAGGGAGATGATGCCCATGTGGGGCGGTTGCCTCCTAAGGTCCAGCCGGTTTGCATTTAAAACATGTGATTGGGGCTGCTTCTTGCAAGGGGATTTCATCAGCTCCCACCGTCCTGCAGACTCTGCCAGAGGCGCTGGGATCGGGGTTTCCAGA